GACATACCTGTATATAGATATAAGCATTGACTGAGAGCAACAAAATGTTTTGGCTGTGGTAAAATACTCCCACCTAATGTACACAGATGAGAAATGCAAGAAAAAGCTACTAAGCGCTTCTCAGACATACATAGTTATCTAATTCCCCCCCCATTCTGCCTAAAGAATAGCAATTCCTTCCCATGATCAACTCCTAGCATTTGTCAGCACAAAATGGAGTTCCCAAGGAAGAGATAAATTTTACTGCTTTTACTTAAAGCATCCTAGTCAATTTCTCCCAACAATGTGTATAGGATTTCAGGAGAAACGAACTTTTTCTTCAAGTTGCAAGCAAATTCGACTACGAGGGAGGTTCTTGCTAGCCAACTCTTTCAGGGTATTTATTTATCAAAATTATATAGTCACCCACCTCACAAGAAGCGTCTCCGGGAAGCTTACAACAAAGATCTAAAATAATAAAATAATAAAACATATTAAAATAATCATTATTAAAAATATTTTAAAAGCATATGGCACAAATGAAGTTAGACTAGCAAGGGAACCACCAAAAGATCTCAGTGGTCCCTAGTCCCCCAGCTTTGATGACAAAGCTAGATCTTTAAAGACCTCTGGAAAGTAAGTAAGGATAGAGCTGATCTCATTTCGGGAGGGAGGGGGAGGAGGAGAATATTCTATAAGGCAGGTACCAAGACAGAAGGCCCACCTTCTGGGACCTGGCAAATATAATTCTCTAATAGATGGGACTTGCGGCGTGGGTCTTCTGCTGGATCTGATGGGATGAGGTGATGTAATTAGGGAAAGGCGGTCCCTCAGATAACCCAGCCCTATGCCATGAAAGGCTTTAAAGGTCAAAAACAGCATCTTGAATTGGACCCGGAAGCAGATTGGCAACCAATGCAGCTCGCGGAGCAGACATCTTACATGTGCTGTTCTAGAAGCACGTATGACTGACTGTGTGTTGCATTTTGCACCTGCTGAAGCTTCCGGATACTCTTCAACGACATCCCCACATTATAGTAATCCAATCAGGAGGTAACTGGGGCATGGGTGACTGTGAGGAGAGCCCTCTGATCCAGGAATAGGTGCAGCTGACACCTAACATTGAACTGTGCAAAGCCCTCCCTTACCCATGACCACCACTGCTCATTGAGCAGGATTCATGAGACCAGGAGGCCCCTCAGATTGCTCATCGGGTCTGTTTGGAGCAATGCAAGCCAATCCAGCACCAAAGATAGTATTTTATTTCTTAGACTTTTATCCCGTCTTTATTATTTTATAAGTAACTCCAGACGGAGAACGTACATAATACTCTATGGAGATTCTCAGTCATCCAGGTCATGGTTGTCAAAAAGCACCTTTGGGACATACATAATACTCCTTCCTCCTATTTTTCTCACAACAGCAGTCCTATGAGATGGTGGGGTTGAGAGAATGACTGGCCCAAAGTCACCCAGTTCTGGAATCGGCAGGCCTCAAAACCCAAAGCTATTCAGTCATTTCCAGGGCTCAATTGAAACCTGTTGTTCCCATTCAGACCCTTACAGCCTCCAGACATCAGGGCAAAAGATTCACAGCATCGCTTAAGTCATTAAGGAAAGAGATATAGAATTGATAAATATATATGATCAGTATGCTGACGATACCTCATTCTATGGGAATGGATGAGATTGCCCAGCAGCCTCATATAGGTATTGAATAGGAACGGAGAGTGGGCCTAACCATGCGGCACCCAACATACAATAATAGGGGCTGAAGGTGGGATCTCTCTTTCCCAATCATCACCAACTGGAATCGATCTTGAAGAAAGGAGGCAAACCAGTACAACAGGGCTGCTCATGCTCAATCCTGCTCACCCAAAAGCCATTTTCAACCCATACTCAGGTCTGAATTCTGACCGAAAAGAATCCTGATAATCCACTTCATCAACGTGTTTGGAAGTTCTCAACCAACTTCTCAACCACTTTCATCAGAACATGGAGGTTATCCTGGGTGAAAGTTATCCAGTATTCTGGAGTCCAGCAATGGCTTCTTGAAGAGGGGATAAACCAAGGCCTCTTTTAGAATAGGAACCTCTCACTCCAGCAAGAATTCACCACAAGAATCCATTCACACACCCCTAAGCTTTTTTAACAAGCCAGGAGAGGCACTGATCTAAGGAGCAGGTGGCTGAGTTCACAATCCCAGACACCCTGTGCACTTCCTCAGACCCAAGAGGTTTAAAGCACTTCCAGATAATCAGGCAAGAGTTCTCTCTAGGCCTCTCCTCCAGACCTGCAACAACGCTGGCATCGAACCCCAAGCAAATTCAAGTGACTTTGTTCAACAGATGCTGAAAAAAATTCCTTTGCACAAGCTTGCAGGTGATTCTCCGATCACCCTATACATAAGAAGGCACATGTCACCTGAAACAGAGCCAACTCTCCACAGATAGGGTGGCGAAGTAGATGTTTTGCCACTCTTACTGCCACAAAGTAGGCCTTGATAATGGCTCTAAACCATGTTTGGTTAAGTTCATCTTTTGTGAGCATCGGGAATACTCTAGATCAGGGGTCTCCAACCCCCAGTCCATGGACTGGCACCGGGCTGCGGCATGCCAACAACCGGGCAGCGAAACAAGCGAAGCCCCATCCGTGGGATGCAGGCAGCACACAAAACCACGCCCTCTCCGGTCCATGGAAAAATCTCTCTCCACATAACCGCTCCCTGGTGCCCAAAAGGTTGGGGGCCTCTGCTCTAGATGTCTCTTTCTCAAATTCTTCAACTCTGTGAATGGGAGACATTGCAGGGATGTGATCTGATCTAAAGCTCAGCTGCACCCCATTCTAGGCAGTGACCAAGGCTTCAGATGGACTATGCAGCAGGCCAACAGGAACAGCCTCTAACACCTTCTGAAACTCATCCAGGCTCCTCAGTCACCAGGGATGGATGAATCAAATGGGTCAAGCCTCCCTGCAGTGGATAGTGGTGCTAGAGAACTCCATGGTCATTAGGGGTTGATTTGATCCTGACAAGGGAGACTCCAAGAACTCCCCCAATTTCAGAACATATAGCCACTGCTCCGATAGGATCACCAGATCCAGTGTGCGGCCACTGCCATTTACATTCTACCCTCATCCAGCTAGTATTTTTCTTCCAGATATTTTCCAATCTACAACTTTAGGCACTGGTTCCCAACAACAAATAATTATATACAATATAAAGAATCAAAAGTATCACTGCATATACTGACCTGTTTAAAATACCAATTAAATTAATTCAAATGGATCAATTGATGGGAACAACCAACTGGTCAACAAGAAAAGAATCGGAAAGCTGAGACTGAACACTATTCTTTAGCTTGTTAAAATTCATTTTAAAATTGACATTCTCTTGTACTTCTTTCAAATGATGAAAGAACATAGCTACTGGAGAATGCATATTCAATCCAAGTTATTAATTTCATGCAAGAATCAATTAATCAATCCCCAAATGCATAATTGTAGGCATGAAGGAGTATAGTTGCTGCTTGCCTCACGTTCTGCATGTGCATCTCTTTCTACCCCTTCAACAACTCTTCTGATGTGTTTGTACATGTAACTGTACACAGCAGAGATAAAATACTTTTATACTCCAGGCATCTGATAAAGTGGGCTGTGATCCAGAAAAGATGAGCAGTCATAGATGTGTTAGCTTTTCAAGTGCCACAAGTCTGTTATTTCTGTTGCATTCTACCAGAAACTGCATTACAATAGTTTTCAAAAGTAAAAGGTACAGTAAAATAATGCAGCAAAAAATAGGAGAAAAAAGTCAGTGTCTTAAAGACAATTTCTAAGATACAGGTGAGGTTCAATAATTATATCCTATACTAGAGCAGACATGTCAAACTCGTGATATCACATGACGTCGTGCAACGTATTGGGGCAGACGTGTCCGACCCATGGGCCAGCAGTTTGACACCCCTGTACTAGAGTACTTATCCAGGCTGCTCACCATTGCTATTTTGACTCATAGTAGCTCTTCAAGGTTTCAGAGATCTTTTCCCTTACTTCCTATTATTATTTTTTCTTTAGTTAAGAAGCCAGAGAATAAACTTGGGGTCTTCTGCATGCAAATCAGGTATTCTATCCCAAGTCATTTTAATAGCACCATTTAGGCTGTAAATGTAGATACCCTATGGGGATATAGCCCAGATACCCTGCGTTAGTATGTCTTCCAAAATGAATACATTCAGATTGGCGGCTTCTTATCTGTCATAACAGGGAAGTAAATGATGACATCGACTTCAGCACATCATCTAGCGTGATCTGAATGTTCAAGGGGATCAATATGTATGGCTCATGGAAAGAAGCTCATAATATCCAGGCACTATGCCTGCTGTTTACACAATAGGTACAGTGATCCCTGTGGAAGTGGCTAACTGGATGGTCAGTTGGCTGTTCTGCTATTCTTTCATTAACTGAGACATTCCTAGATATAGTTTCTTCAGTGTCCTGCTTTTCCAGTAAAATGAACAAACAGGAGAGTTAAAATACCTCAAAATATTTTGCAATCTCAGATAATCAATTCAAATCATCTTATGCTATCAAGTTTTAAATCATTTTAAATGTATAAAAGGAGCAATACTCAGATTGGTGAATGTTCCTTAGAACATTCACCTTGGGATTTTAGCCACTTAGATGATGTCAATTTAGTCCTATATATTTTATATTATATATTATATTATATATTATTATATTATTTAAGCTCTGGCAGTGTCACAAATCTGCCTCACATTGAAATTAAGTTCACCATACCATACCATACCATACCATACCATACCATACCATACCATACCATACCATACCATACACACCATACTATATCACTATAACATACCATACCCACCCCAACACTACATCATATCACTATACTATATGTTGGATCTCAGCTAAAAGTTGCACATGGCTATTATAGTTTTTACTTTCATTACCAAATATACAGAAAAAAAGCACCAAAGTAAAAACAGTACAAAACTTGATTCTGGTATAAATATGAGGTCTATTGAAACATCTTTACTTTCATTGCTGAATGATCCAGATAATATGTCCACTGAAAAGTAATTTAAGTATTCTAATGTATTTGATCATTAAATCAAGACCTTGGCTGTTAAGTACTGTGTATCAATGGAGTCAGGTAAAAGTCTGATATTTGGAACGTCACTTCTTTCTTTTTCTCATTTTTTTGAAACCACCCATTTCAGTATCTGAAGATGGTTGAAGAAAAAGGATGCAATGTTCAGTTACGAACTATGAATTATCTTCTTCCAGAGCACATCAAGATGTTTTTCATACAAACCTAACATGTTCCCCATTACATTGGTCCAAACTGTGCTTTCAGCTCTGATGGGAAAGATATTATTTATATTATTCAGAGCAAGATGGTATTCAAGCAAAACTCAAAAAATTAGTCCACTATGTATTGTGGCATACAAATCTTGAGATGTCTGTTGATATGTCAAAATATTACTAGTATATGACAGTCTCTGTTCTGGGAACTTATTCCAATAAGTTTGGGTGTTCAATCCAAGTAATCATCCAGTCTGGCTTCACACCCTGTGTGAATTCTCTTCGAAACCTTTAGAGAAAACAAAGTAAAATAATGAAGAGACAGTTGCATAAGTCAAGCAACAAACCCTTTGTGAGTGGCCTTTATATTACAATTACAAATGTAATATTACAGTGGTGAACAAACATAATACTAAAAATAGATTTAGACGGCTGCTAAATCTGTCAGATAAGACTGCAATCTGACTTAAATTGACAAAGCAAGAAACATAATAGAAGATTTCAGGAACATCTTAATAGTTGCATCTATTACTATTTCTATTTATAAATGAATATTAACGAAATGTGGAGGTTCATGCAAGTCATATAATTAGATTGAAGGCAGAAGGGATACTGAGCATACATAGGAACTAGAAGCCCTTAGGCTCTTCCAGTAATTAATGTTGGAAGCTTTATTATGTTGACATAGAAAATGGACATAGAAAATGCTGTGCAAATGGAGCAACTAATTATCCAAAGTACTTGTTCTCATTGTCAGCATTCATAACTGATACTTTTTATTTATTGCATCCCTTAATATAATAATTTAAAAAAGCAGAGATTATTATTATAATTATTATAATTTAATTTATACCCCGCCCTTCTCCTCATGGGACTCAGGGCGGCTAACAGCCTCATAAAAACTACAATACAAATACAATAATTAAAAGCCGAATTAAAAAGAAATATTTAAACAGGCCGATCAATTAAAATTATCCTTAAAAATCCCCTGAAACTTTAAAATCATTAAAAATTATCCCTATTTAAAACT